CTACTCTCTGTAGAAGTCCTATTTTAATCTGTTGTCTCAAAAGAGATGAGACTAACCTAACAAAATATAGGTATCAAAAAGTTGCATAAGCTGCATGCAGTCCAAATCAGAAGTAATTGGAAGTCAGTAATATCTGGCTTTTACTTGATAGTGGACGTAAAGTGTGTTGATAGATCCATCTGTTTCATGGGAGTATACCTGAATCCCAGGTAAAAACCCAGGAGGCTTGGGAATATCAGATGAGCAGCCATTCCTATTGAGTGCAGTGGCATATGCCCACAGCTGGCAAAGGTGGCAGTGGATAAGGAAAATTTGCTGTTTCCTTCCCCTCTGCAGGACAGTCGCTCCAGCCCAGTCCTGCAGCACAAAGCCAAGGAAGCTTGCAGTGGTTCTCTTCTCACTCTCTGTAAACCACTGAGACCTTTGTCTCCCACTGTGTTTAGCATACCACCTTGTACAACCTCAATTGTGCTTGAAACCGGGAAGTGAAAGAGCACAATAATAACAAGAAATAAACAAAGGCTTAGCAGCAATTCATCTACAGAGAAACATACCAAAAATTAAAAATGCAGCAGCCAACGAAGATGAAACCCCTTCACTACAATGTCCTTTGGGACAGCTTTTCATCTACTTCATAATTAAAGACTGAGATGTTTAAAGCATGAAGAATGGGGAAAATGTGTTTTAAAGCGGCCCAGTATTTATTAGCACACACATGAATGTATTATTCTTTGGCCAGGACTTAAATGACTGTCATTAAAACTCATTTTCTTAGTGCTCTCCTTAAACAAAGATTTTTGGTTGAATACTTTTAGTAGTTCAGGTAAAAATAACTGCATATGCCTGTTCACTGGGGCATGGAATTTGACAGGAAACACTATTGTTAGTACACACGGATTTTTCCTTAACTCTGATATTGGAATTAATCCAGGATCATTCAGAAAAGGAAAATGAGAGAGAGGGAATATATCCTTGGCCATGTGAGTGTAGAGAACTGTCAGATCACCACTTGCTCTCATCTCTAGAGATGAGGGATCCCAGTGACTGCCCCCCATATCCCAGTCACTGGATATTCTGGGGGAGGCCTCTCTCCTCCCTGCTCTGTTCTCCTCTGCATGAAGGCTTTTGTGTCAGTACGTGTAGACTTCCTGAACTGCAGCCTCTGTTTGGGCAATGGGACAGCTGAGGGGCTCTTGTCTCATTTCTCTGTTGACAAATGGAATCTGGATGTTCTTGTAACAAGAGGGCTGTAACTGAGCATTATTTCCTTGACACAGAACTTGAGGGGTTTTTTTCCATAAATGCCAGGTTAGAGTAATAACTGAACTATCTCTGCCTAAACCAGCCATTGCCCTCACTAGCATTGCTGCCCAAGGATTTCAGAGTTCTCTCTGAGGAGTCAGTGGGACAAAATATTCAGTAAGAAGTACACATCAGAGAGGTGGTCACCTTTCAGTTTCTGAGAAAAAGGTGGTGGAATGTGCTTTTTAACACAGATAATGAAAATAAGTTTGGAGATGACTCTTACAAAGCTTCAATTTTCATCTACAGTGTTAAAAACTTGCTAAAACATTAAGCCTAATTGTTACTCCCACTGAGCTGGTGGCACAAAAAGCTAACTTACTAGAATCTATACAGTCTTGAGGAAGATTTTCAATAGTTACACATGACACTTAAAATATTTGTTTAAAGAAAAAAAGAAGTAAGTACTTTAATAAGAACAGTAAAGGTACAGAACAATAAGAAACAAATGACTGAGAACAAGGTCAGGATTAATATTTTACCTAAACAACTGGTTTCTTCCTTTCTTACTATGAGCTTAAATCAGTTTAGCACCCTTTTTGTTCAGAGACTAAAAAAAAAAGTTAATATTTTATAAGATTTATTTATAATACCCTTGAGGTTTAGAGTATGTTTATGTAACCCTTCTGCCAGGAATTGGCAGCAGCTGAAAGAGCTGGATTCGTTTATCTAGGGGTTCTCCCAGAAAACTTAAACAACAGCAGTTTCAGCCTCCACCCAAAGCTAAATGACCTTCTTTGGGTGCCCTGACAAACAATAAATCCTGCTCAAGGCATAGCAAGGGTTTAAAACAAGGTTCAGAGTTTCAAGACAGAGAGAACTTTAGACATGAGAAAAAGGGAAGAAGAAAGGCTCAGAGTAAGCCCACAAGGGCCATTAATCAATAAAATAAATAATGTTAAAGTGTGATCCCTAACCTCCTTCTCTTCCTCATCTCTGTGACACGGAATAAAGGCTTGCTCTGATTTCCAAATAGATGCCTTGTGCCTTGAACATCACTGCCCACTCAAAACTCTCCCCGTATTTGCTGCATGGCTTCACTTTGCAGCTGAGCTAATGCACACATGTATCACTGCCCACAACCCAGGACAGCCCGCCCTCTCCCCAGCCCACAGCCCTGTGCTCAGCTGACCACGCCGTGAACTAACTGAAGGCACCAAACTGCCAGAAAACAACTCATGAAAAAGGAAAGTGAGCAGTGGATGTGTCTCTGCCTGTTTAACTCCCTGCACTATAAGATGAAGACCAAAGTTGGCACCAAGGAAGAGGATGGCACAGCTGGGATAGAAAGAAGAGCCAGACTGCTGTTGTGCCTCTTCTTGCAAGAGCTAGATTGAGTTACTAATAGTTACTAATAGGCTGGGCTGGTGGAGTTTTAAGATGAAACTGCTTTTAAGCATAGTGCCTTTTTTTGTATGAATCTGCTGTCTTATCCTCATATAGGCCAAACTTTGAGGAAGCTGCTCTGTCCATGACTACATGGCTAACGGAGCCATTCTGTCTCTAGTTAAAATCCAGTTAAAATCTGTGTGGTGAGGAAGTCCTCTGCCAGCTAAGAGGAGGAAATAGGGCTTCTGCTGCAAAGCTTAAACACATTTTACCAAGGATGGAGCCCTGGGGTTAATTTTGTTGCCTGGGCAGAACAGCTCTGCCTTTCTGCCTCACACAGCACACCAGCCTGAGGCTTTTCCCAGTCCCACAGCCACTACTATGCCACACTGACCAAAACAGGGTGGCTTTTACAATTCAGCTTCCTTGACTTTTTTGGGCACCAGGTTTAAAAATTTAATCACAGAATAAATCAGGTTGGAAAAGACCTCTGAGATCACCAAGCCAAATCTGACCAAAAACCATGTCAACTAGATCAAGGCACTAAGTGCCATGTCCAGTCTTTCCTTAAATATCTCCATGGACAGTGACTCCACCACTTCTCTGGGCATCCCATTCCAATGTCTAATCACTCTGTGAAGAAATTCTTCCTAATGTGCAACCTAAACCTCCACTCTCACAGCTTATGCCAATTTCCTCTTGTTGTGACACTTGTCACCTGGGAGGCCAACCCCACCTGGCTGCACCTCCTCTCAGGCACTTGCATGGAGCATTAAGGTCCCTTTTGAGCTTCCTTTTTCTCCAGGCTAAACACCTTCAGCTCCCTCAGCTGCTCCTCACTGGACTTGTGCTCGAGACCCTTCCCCAGCTCTGCTGCCCTTCTCTGGACACGCTCCAGCCCCTCAATGTCCTTCTTGTCCTGAGGGGCCCAGAACTGGACACAGCACAGTGCCCAGTACTCTCACTGCCCTGGTCCTGCTGGCCACACATTGCTCATGGATGCCTGGATGCCACTGGCCTTCCTGCCCACCCGGACACACGCTGGCTCATGTTCAGCCAGCTGCCGCCCCACACCCCGAGGTCCTTTTCTGCCGGGCCTTTTCCAGCCGCCGTGCCGGAGGGGCTCGCCCTGAGGGGGAGGCGCTGGCGGCCGAGGCGGGCGGGCCCGTGCCGGCGCCATTGGCAGCGCGCAGAGGCCTGGAGCGGCCCGGCGGCCGGAGGAGCGGTGCAGTACTGCGCCGAGCTGGTGCGGTGAGTGCCCGCCGCGGGGGGCTGCAGGCGCGGGGGTGCGCGCTCCGCGGAGCGGCGCGGCCAGCCCGGCCTGGGAAAGCTCGGCAGCGCTTCCCACGCGGCGGGAACGCTGACGAGCTCCCGGAAAGGATGACTGGGATTGCCCAGGCCGCACTCGGGCTCTCCTGGCCCCGAAAATAGCCCGAGAGGCCGGCGGGACCACGCCGTGTGGGGAGCATGGAAACCAGGCGCATGTTCAGGCTGCGTGGGTGATCCGGCCTGCACACAGAACCACTGGTTAGCCTGTGTTGGAAGGACCTTCGGAGATAGCCAGTCCAGCCCCCCGCCCAGGCAGGGTCACCCAGAGCAGGTTGCACAGGAAGGTGTCCCGGTGAGGGTTGAATGTGTCCCGGTGGGAGTTGAGCGTGTCCTGAGGGACGCGCCGCCGCCTTCCCGGGCACATTCCCCCGCAGTACCTCCCTCCTCCCCCCTTCATGGCTTCACGAGTACGGAACGTTCTTGTTCCCTTGTATCGGTGTTTTGGAGAGCGAAATCACCGAAGTGGATGTTTAAAAACATTGGGTGTTTTCAGATCTTGGCTGCTGAGAACTAGCCATGCTTCCTGAGCACTCCCTGGAAAAACGGGATAAAGCAGAGGACATCTGACAGCTGGAGCAGCTCAGTGCCTTCTCTATCCTGAACACAAGAGGAAGGCTGTGTTTCCAAAACATCCTTTTTTTTTTTGTCAAACCCAAAATGCTCCAAGAGGAGCAGAGTGCAGTCAGACACTTCCAGGTCAGGTCACTTTTGCTTCTTGGATTCTGGGCCATAAACAATGTGTAGGGCCCCTTGGCTGCTTTGGAGCTCCCAGCAATTCAGTTCTTTGTAAAGTAAGATGTTAAACAAGTCTCTTAGTAAAGACCTTGGTAACTTCTCTTTGGATACTGTTTTTCCAGATGATTGACAAAAGCTGGGAGAAGGTTTCCATGTGTGCATAGAAAGAGTGGAACAGGATTATCTTCTCCAAGCTGGTGCTTGTAAAAAGACAGAAAGGTGTGTGTGGTCTGCAGTAATGTCTGAGGTAGGAAAGCTAAGGGAAAGTAATGGGACAACCTCAAATGTTCAGTGCAACACCAAGAAGCTGACCTGTACAGGTGCACCAGAATGCACAGCCACATTGCATTTTTCATGATTTTCAAAATGCAGCTTTCTTTTCCTAGTTATTCTACCCAGGATTCATTTCCCTGATACTCAGGAGACCAGAGGCTGTGTGTACAGCCAATATACAGGTAAAGTTAACATCTGCAGGTGAAATGTTTCCAGTAACAAGCAACTCTGAACAGAATAGTTAGGTTCCAATGAGATGGTTGAATTAAAACTTTTTTTAATATGTATTTTTGTTAAATGATAAAAGGACTAGTTAGAAAAACACACAAGCATTCAAAATAGTAAAATGAAAGGTGGTTATGCTTTTGGCATTATTTAATTGAAGCTGCTGTTCCCAGTAGTTCAATTATTGCATGGAAATAATAACTATAAAAAATAAGTGGAAGGAATTATTATTTAAACAAAATAAAACACTTGGGGCTATGCAAGTGTCAGCAACTCCCTAGTTCTGAATTTGAGTCTCCAGCACATTAGGAAATACAGCTGAATTGTGCTTTAGTAATATGTATTTGTTTTTACGATATGGAAGATGCCCTTTCTCTTTGGTCTTCCTTTTTCTGTTGAACAACTAAATTCACTTCAAGCTATTTGACTAAAAAATGTTTTCCTTATAGGTATGTTTTATGTCTTTAACTGTCAAGGTCTCAAAGACAAGCTGGTGGATTGATAGCTTTATTGTAAATTCATTATATGGAAAGTCCAGTTATGACCATTACTAATTTTTCTTCTGTCTGTGGGTTCATATATAAGCTTATACTTATTTGAAAAACCTCAGCTTATTTATCAAAAAACTCAATACCTGACTTAAGGTCATTTCCTCCTTTCTACATCCCTTACACTCATACATGAAGAAGGTTGGGGTGGAACGTGATCTACAGCAATATCAATTTTATTTTACTGAGGCCTAATGGTTTTGTGCACTAAATTTTTAGGCTTGGAATAATTGAAAAAAAAATCAACCAAAACCCCACCATGTCAACAGCATTACCAGAGGGCAGACAATTTTCTCTATTGTGTTGCTGGGTACTTTGTATAACATATTTCTTTGTTTCGTTTCTGAAAATAGAGTGTTGTGTGAATAACACAGACAGACTGGAACTGGGAAAATGTGGCTGTAAACCATGCAGCTCTGTCTAGGGTGGACAGTACTGAGTATTTCTGTAATTAGTCTTGAAAAAAATATTAGTTTTTGAGCTGGTAATACTTTTTAAAAAGTGTCTTAACTGAGGGAGGTTTAATGTATCTGTTCTATAATATGAAGGTGTCCTATAAAGCCTACTTCAGCTCAAAAATTAATTTTTTTTGGTTGATATTTCTGTATTTGTATCAAGGTCTAAAAGAATCTGACAACAGTTGTGGAAATGAAGCATTGGCTAGTTTTCAGCTGCTGTGTATTGTAGGGTTAAGCATCTCTGTTAAACTTCACTTCTTTTTTGTTTGATGCTAAAAGTAGCAACCCTAATAACATAATAATAATTGGGTTTAGTTTGGCTTTCTATTTTAAGATCATATTCAAAAGAAATATGAGTACATGCAAGAACAGCAAACTTAATGAAAATGAGTGCATGTGTTTTCCTTGACAACCTGCTTCTCCACTCTCCAGGCCAAACTTGGGAGTTCGTTGTGTTCTAAGGAAGAATCAGGTTTCAGGCTTATCAGAAAGTACACACAAATGTTGTTCAAAACAAGCAGTTTAGCTTTTCAGAGGTGGTCAGGTGTTTTTGTCAGCTGGAGTGATTTTTTAGTTCATGATTCTGAGCACTGTGTTTTTAATTTTGTGGCACACCCACGTGGCCAAACGAAAGCACATCACTCTGGGTTGGCAAGGAGTTACCTGCAGTGAAACTGCCAACTCCCGGAGGTTTTATGCTTTGAATCTAGTTGCCAGTAAACAAAAACTTAATGGTTAAGCAAGCACTCTGCTGCCAAGCTCCAAAGCACAGTCTTCTAAAGAAATGTGGTTTCGTGTTTGGAGCAGCAATCTGCAAGTCGGACAATCTGGATTCTATTTGCAGTTCTGCCACAGCTTTGCTCCGTGCCTTTAGCCAGATACCTGGAGATGTGGATTTCAGAGGTGCACTGAGAGTCCAGGCAGCCTGCACTCGCTCTTGGAGTTGGTCTTACTTTAAAACAAGCCTAAAAGCTGGTACTTTTGCAAAGTCAGAGTTTTGAGCTATAACTTACTGTGACTTTTTGAGGAGTTCAGTGCTAAGGAATAGCACACCAAATTGACTTAGAGCTATAAATATGTGCATTTTGATTCTTTGATAGGAAGCGTGACTATGAAGGGTTTCTGTGTTCTCTGCTGCTGCCTGCGGAATCTCGAACCTCTGCTTTTGCCTTGAGAGCCTTCAATGTGGAACTGGCTCAGGCAGGTATTAAAATACATTTGTGAACTCTGGAAATTTAAATAACAATTTTGATATTCTCAGTTACACTTGTAAGTATTCTTTCTATAGTAGGTGGTGTTTTGTCAAGGTTAACTTTTATACAGTCAAGGGCCATGAATAAATAGTGCAGTACAAACCTCCAGTTTTGAATGGCTCATGGAAATTACCCAGCCTGCCCTATTATTTTGTTTGTGTTATAATTTTTATGCTTTTTCTTTATGCATTTTAAAATCGAGTTATAGCAAACAGGCAGTGGTTCTTGATATTGTTATGTGATTGCATCTAAATCTTGGCTGCACGTGTGGTTAATGCCTAAAGTGCAGCTAAATCCCAGCTGTAAAAGGTTGGTCAAAAAATGCAATGCTATAATCAGGACCAAGTCTTTGTTGGCAGAAGCGAGGTGATGAAAAGCTGCAGGAGGGAAGTTAGTTGTTAGAGAGTTGTGGGAGAGGAGTGGCTGCAGTCTGTCCAATTTGCAAGGTGCCCAGAAACTGCCAGTGCAACCAGGAAAGTTGGCAGTGGTTGCCAGAAAAGAGTGATCAGGAAATGAGCTGACCAGGCAAAACCCCTGAGCAGCTTCTGTAGGCTGTGCTTCTGGCAACCCATGGTGTGCACTCCCTCACTGCTGTCACCACTGCTTTTATTCCTTCAGGGAAGAAAACTAAAGTCAGGGTTGCCCAGCACTTAATCTCTGTGGGTTTTAAAATCAGGTTGTGGTGAAGATTTCACATTTACTGTATGCAGTTCCTAAGCTTTATGAGGAATAAATGTCAATTCAGAACTGAGCTCTTTCTCTGCTGAGTTTGTCTTTATCCTGTGTCTGTCTTTTCAGCATAGACCAAGTGTTTTAAAAGACACTGAATTTCACTCCAGATGTATCCTTTCCAGATTAAAGACTCCATAACTCAGAAGACGACAGGTTTGATGCGGATGCAGTTCTGGAGGGACGCTGTGGAGGACATATACGGCGATAACCCACCACATCAGCCTGTTGCTACAGAACTGTGGAGGGTAAAATACACCTTTCTTGTCCTAAAATTTGCTTTAATATTACTGTGGGAAGTAATGTCAGTGTTTTGTGTGTGCTGTGCTGTATCTGTTCTAGCTGACAACACTGTTTCCTGCACAAATCCAGAACACAGCACCATAAAAGTGCTGTGAAGAAAATTAACTCTATCCCAGCCCAAATCAGTACAGTATTCAGACAGAAGTCATTCAGATTCTGGGATACCAGTTGCAGCCCTCTCCAGTAGCTAAGACTGCCAGATGTACTCCCCTCTCACAAAACAGAAAATTGGTTTTGAAGTGGAAGTAGAATGGTCTTCGGTGAGACTTCACTTCAGGTATGATTCCTATAAAGGAAGACCAATATAATACAATCCAAACAAAACTACTTGCAAAATAAGATGATGAAAAATAATTCAGAAAGTATTTTTAGGAGCTCTGATAGCTCTAAGCACTGCAGAGCACTGTAGTGAACTAACAATTCAATATAACTTGGTGACTTTTGCAGTCAGGATAGGATTTTATTTCCATATTTCAGCAAATACTCCAAGAGTGACCTGTTCAAAGCCCATGACGTCACAAATGTCCAAGAATGTCATTGCAATTCTTAGAAAAAAGGATTTGGAAAGACACCTGAACTCACAAGTATTGCTGAGCTGTTAATAGAATTAACATGTCTTTGCACAGCATATTCTATGTATATTCCTTTGTTGCTGTTGAGTTTATATGAGGACAATGTGATTTTCCAGAATAAATTTAAGTTATAATATTTAAATGTGTTTGTGAAGTTTTGTATATCCCAGAATACTTGAATTTGAGTTCCAAATTTTTATGCACTGGTAAAGTAGATAAATAGCCTTTAATAATATTTCTAGAATTATTAATAGCTCAGTGCTTGGTGACTTTAATATAAACTTACACAGCAACTGTATAATGTGTGATCTTTTCAGTCTATTTTAAACATATGAAAAGTGAGACCTAATTCTCTGTTCATGTCTGTGGAAGAAGCCAATTTTTCAAACTTCAGAGAAATGAGGACCCATGTGTTTAAATGAAGTAATGGATGTAATGTACAAAGTGGGTCATTTAGCATAGTTGAGTTTGGTCCTTTAAGTCTTGACCTGTTAGTATTCCAAGGATTTTATTTACAAAATGTTACATGAGGTGAACAAGTGAGATGAAAACCTGACATTTGTAATTATAATTTAAATGTGCCTTTTCATATACCAAGTACTGTCTCAAGCAGAATTTATAGAATCAACAAGATCTGGTTTGTCAAACCTTGAAAAAATATTTACTAATATGATGGATGTAAAGGAGAAGTTGAAAGTGAGCAATGAGAAATCTGCCCTGTAAATTTTATTTATAGATATTTTTACATGTGATTGTAGCCTTTCTGAAAACGTGTTCTGAACATGTCAACGTGTGTAATTAAGAGGATTGAAGGTAAGTTGTTAGAATGAAGTGGCTCAGGAAGGATGTCAAATATAAGACAAGAACCAAAAGAAGAATGTTACTGTGCAATATTTTTTAAACAAATGCCTAATATTAATTGTATTGCTTTGTTAGTATTCTGTATTTGCAGTACATATCGGTATGTTGTGCGGATATTTTCTTGAGAATTTACAGGGGATATATTCTTATTGCTAGACTCTGGAGGAAACTCTGTTCTTTTTGGAAAGTGAACATAGTAATCTGCAAATATTTTGTGGGAACATACGACTCCAAAAATAAATTAATTTCATAAGCATTTTTAAAGAAATGCTTTTAGTTTGCTGGCTCGATGTCTGGTATTTAATTTTCTGTTTGCAGCAACTTGCTGTAAATGCCAGTTGAAATTTTTTTTTATTTTAAGAACATTCTCATTTTGCACTGACTTGCCACTTTGATTTAATCCAGTGAATAAAATTCTTGTATTAAATACTTAAAATGTATTTCAGCCTTCAGAATCAGTACTACCATCACTTTGTATACATTAACAAGGAGGTTTTATTTGATAATTTTCAGGCTGTCAAGAGGCATAACTTGACTAAAATGTGGTTCATGAAGATCATAGATGAAAGAGTAAGTATTTACCCTTCAGAGTTGGATTCTAGTTTTAGTAATATTTGGGTTTTCTTTTCCTTATTTTTATAGGTTTGTGTGTAAAACAGAAGCTTATGTAATTTTCCAGACAGTAGTATTTCTCTTTAAAAATGATACTGCTACATTTTTAAAAATTCTTCATTGATGCTGCTTGTCATAGTTTCTCTTCTTTCTGCCAAAATGGCTAATAGAATCCTTTGTTTATTTTTATCTTAAATTGATGTCGTTTGTGAGTTCATGTGGGTATAAAATCTCAAAAATCAAATTACTAGTCTGAACCCTTCTGCCACGCTTTCATGCTACTCCTTATCATGGCTGTGGAGTTTTTTCTAAGCAGTGGTGTAAACTGGAGCATTCAAATCACATTAAGTTTAAAATAGCCACCTTTTTTTCCTGGAAAAGACAAGGTTAAGAACATCACTGGTACAGTAATGTTGCTACAAGCTCTGACACAAGGACAAGGATGAAAAGCAGAGTGCAGGAATCTCTTAAGCTAATTTTGCTGCTAAAGTAAGTGTCTCATGAAGCTATAAATTGAGCAAATTGATGGTCAGTTACTTGCAGAGGGTCATTGCTATAAAAGATTTGAGACTTCCTTAATGGTAAGATTTTTTAGTCTTTAAGAGTGGTATGTTTCAACCACAGAAACTGCTAGGACAGGAGGAATGCTGGAGGATGTTATAGTTTTGGGTGTATTTTATTATTTTGGGTGTATTATTTGTTAGCGCCACTAAGTTGTTCAGAGGGCTGGAACACCTCTCCTGTGAAGATAAGCTGAGAGATTTGGAGCTGTTGATTCTGGGGAAGAGAAGGCTCTGGAGCCTTCTTAGAGCACCTTCCAGTACCTAGAAGGGCCTTACAAGAGCTGGAGAGGGACTTTTGATGAGGGCATGTAGTGACAGGACAAGGGAGAATGGCCTTGAGTTGTAGAAGGGTAGGTTTAGATTAGATCTGAGAAATAAATAGTTTACTGTGGGGATGGTGAGACACTGGAACAGGTTGCACAAAGAGGTTGTGAACTCTTAATGAGGTGTTCAGAGGTCGGGTGGACCTCTGAGCAACCTTGTCTGGTAGAAGGTTTCCATGTCCAAGACAGAGGACTTGGAGCTAGATGACCTTTAAAATCCCTCTTAACCCAAACCACTCTATAATTCTATGAATCTACATTTTTATGTGACTTTAACACTTCTCTGCATTTCATAGGTTTATTTTATGTTTTTAAAAAATACGTTCCTGTTTATCTAAATTTCTCTCTGCTCCAGATGCAAATTAAATCTTGACAACCCTACAATGCAAAAATGCCATATGATGTTTTGGTTTTGCTGTTTCCTTTCTTATGGAGAATTCTGATTTTATATTATTACAGAAAGTTATATTTTCCCCTTGGCTGCAGTTGAGCATAGTTATTTTTTAGGCTTGCTAGAGGCTTTAATGACTGCTTCTATCTGAGTTTATACTCTCTCTCTCTCTCTCTCTTAGTTTTGTCCTTTTTTGTTTCCAGTGGTGCATTGGATTGACATGACTGTAGTAATAAGCCCATGCAAACAGCAGTTGTGTTTGTGTTCTCCTGAAGCTCTGTGTTTATATTCCAGGAGAAGAATTTGGATGATAGGCCATACCGTAACATCCAGGAGCTGGAAACATACGCTGAGAACACTCAGAGTGCTCTCTTGTACCTCACCTTGGAAACACTGGGTAAGTGTTTTCCCCTTTCTGGGTTTTGCTGATGACTCATTAGTGCAACTACAATATTTACTGATATTTCAAAAAGCCCTTTCTTTTCCTACTGGAGTTTAATTTCAGTAAAAGTTGTCCTAGATAGAACTTCAGATATCTTTTGGATGCTGAACCATAAATGTGGAATTGTACTGCAGCTGTCCTAGAACTCTGTGCTTTCCTTGGAAGCTGCTCAGTGCAGAGCTCACTGTAGTGCAGTTTCCTACTGTTCTTTATTGCTTTATTTTCTCTGTTCTCGCTCCTCTTACAGAATGCAGAAAATTCAGCTCTTCACTGTGTTTCAATTATCCTACTTGTCAAAATACTGTAGGTGTCCTGGAGCTGTTGTTCTATACTGCAGTGATGGACACTGATTATCTTGAAACAGCCAACTTACCAACCTGTAAACTTCTTTTGGTGATGTTGTAAATTTTGATCTGAATCCTCTCCTCTTCCTAGAAGTAGGTTTACTTTCAGTAATTGAAGAGCTAGAAAAAAATGCAACAAAGGTGATCCCTGTGATCAGAAGCTACTGTCTGTGTCATGTCTAATGTAAGAACCACAGATTGGGAAAGAACTGTTCATTTGTAGTGAAAAAAAGGGTAATTTTCATTTAGGTATCTGTTGCATTATAGAAGTATTTCCAATATGAGCTCAGATGTAAAAAAAAAAGGTGAAAATGATCATGATAATGATGATTATGTAGTGTTTAGTATTGTAGTAGCAATATTTTCCTCTTGCTTGTCAGACTAAAAAGGCAAGTACTGATGTTAAAAGTTAAAAAGATAGAAAAAAGAGAAGTAAAAAGAGAGAGATGGTGAGTACATTCTTCTTTGAAAGAATTGAGGAACTTATTTCTTAACATCTGATGTTTGCTTCCTCAGTAGGAAATTAGTGAAATGTTGCAAATGTCTTTCTGAACCTCTTATTGAAGAATGTAGTACCATGAGAAATGCCAGTGTGTTCCATTCTGAGAAATCCTGAATAAGTTCAGTCATGCTTGGATCACTCACTCCTCGTACAAATCAGATTAAACTGTTTCTGAAAATCTGTGTAGAAACTCTGGATATTCTAATTGTTCTCTTGTCGGACTTAACTTCTCTTAAATATACAAATGTAACAAAATATCTAAGCAAAAGTCTCCTTCACTGCATATTAAACAGTTAACTTTTGTTATTTATTTTTCCCCACAAATTGAGAAACTCATCAAATACAGCCCCTTTCTTGGTGTTGCCCATCAGCAGTGTTTTCTAGACTGGGTGGACCTGGTTTCATTTAGGTCATGTTTGCTAAATTTCTTTTGCTATTTAAGACTCCTTATTCCTGTTGAATTTCTCCTGGTGTGTGCTCTCCCAGTACTAGTACTGTTGTATTCTTGCTGGTTTCAGGTTATTCCTTTTGTCAAGCTCATTTTGACTGGGAATCCTGTCATCTGAAGCCCTGGTACTTCCTCTCAACTCCTGTAATTTAAAAATACTAATATTTGTGCTCTCTAATTACCTAAGTAGTTAGTAAATATTATCCACTGATTCCACCAAGCCACGCTTTTCTTTCTGCTGCCATTGCCAAAATCAGTCCCTGTATTGTGTGTACAGTCACTCTTTCACAGAGAATTCTGAGACCCACTGAAACCCAGACAGGCTTCTGCAGTGAATCTTCTACCCCCAGTGTTATTTCCATATGTCACTTAGGTTTCATTGGTCTGTAATTGCTGTATCCTCATTTCTTTCTTTGTAGAATGCTGCTTCTGTTAAGAATTTTTATAAATTTTCATTTAAATTTTCATTTTATCCCAGCTCAGGTTTATAATCAGTCTAAGCCAAGCCTGTATGGTCTTGTCATGAAGAGCGATGGTGCTGCTCTGCCCCACTCATCTCCCTCTCTCAGTTCTCACAGTTATGTGACTGTGCAGTAACTAACATTAGTTTTCTGTTGTTTTGGTGGTCTGATTCAGTTTGCCTCATTGCTGCTGACAGAGAAGGGAGGGGATAGAAATATGGGTTTGGGGGGTGAAGCATGGGATCATTCTCTTTGACTTCACTACACTGATGAATTAGCTGCAGCTAATCATGAAACCACATTTAAGCATTAATGCTTGTCAGAAATCTGACACTTGAATGATTTTTGCTGGCAGGAAAAGCAGTTCTTGGAATACTGTTATCCTGGGAGAGGATATGCCAATGAAAGTGAGTTTGTGTACCAGTGTGTTATATCTGAATAGGTGCTGCTCTGCTAAGTATACCCTTTGCAGATACTGTAACAAGAGACATCTTGCTCCTGAATGTGGAAATGAATGGATTTTCCTGCTGTTTTGCACCTCTGAGATGAGATCTCAAGGCAGTTTATGCACATGGACAGTTCTGTCAGGGACCAATGCACATAGCTTTCATAAAGCATGACTGTGCTACACATCAGAGAAGGCCATACCCCTCAAAAGGCCTGACTGCATGTTTCTAAACATATTGTTTCTGCCATTCTAGGTGTGAGGGACATCCATGCTGACCATGCAGCCAGCCACATTGGGAAAGCACAAGGCATAGTTACCTGTTTAAGAGCAACTCCATATCACTGTACAAGACAAAAGGTCTTTCTTCCCATGGACATTTGTATGTTGGTAAGAGAAGCAAATAGTCTGGAACTGAACAGTGTAGTTTTTCTAACTCTGTTTCTCAAGGTTAGTTATGAGATCCTAACTTATTATGCCAGAAAGAAATGGTATGTTTTTTCTTTATTTTTACTCGTTCTGCTCTGGCCTGCTAATTGTCACAGTTTTATATCTTTTGGGAAGTGAGAGGGAACGTCAAGAAACTCTAGATTTCTCTTAGGGGTTTGTTTGTTTGTTATTATTAAATGTATTAATATTTTAGGTTTCAGGAATTTTTCCAATAATATATAAAAATGCACGTATGGAATGGGTTCTGGGGGTTTGTGTTTTAGGGTTGGGTGTGGGGGTTTATTTCTTGGGGTTTTTTTTTCCTTTTCTGTCACCATAAAGGAAGCACTGTGAGAAATTTTACTTTGAATAATCTTCTTGTGCTTGTCTTTATTAACTTTTCATAATGTGCTGGTGGCTTTTTGGATTTTTTCTGTTCCATATTTTACAGTTATAGGCCTATATTCCATACATTTCTGTAGGAGATGGTATAGCCCTCCAATTTAAACTGTACATGGCATTTGCACTGGAATTTAGCAGATCTTTCAGTTTAGGTAAAATGGGATTGAAGCTCAGATTTTTTCATTAATGTTCCCTGGGTTAATCTGTAGGCATCTCAGCTGTTAGTCCTTCATTTCCAGTCTTTATTTTTAAATGTTAATGCTGTTCTTTTTCAACTTAACCAAAATGTATGCAATTATGGTAATGCCTAAGGTGATTGTGTTAGTATTTTCTGAATATAATTTTAATACAGTTAAAAATTTGGATTGGAAAATTAGTAATGTAGGTAGCTGCAAAAAAATGATACTAAGATATTAATATAGGTCAGATACTAAAAATACTAATATAGGTCAGGGTTCTAAGACTGCAGAAAGGAATTGCACTCTCCTTTCAGCCCTTCTGGGACTGTGTGTTATGGGAGGCCTTCCAAGTTTTCAGCTTTTCAAAGACAGCCTGAAAATTCAGTCATTCTTTGCCATGGAAGGTGTTCTGCAGTGGAACTGTAAAAACAGCTTGCATCCCTTCTGTGCAGACAATCTTGTAAGCATTTCAGCTGCTGGCAAGACCTGTGGAGTTCTCCTGAGTCTCCTTTGACACCTTCTGCCCACCTTCATAGAGCTCTCACATGCCTCAGTGTGGCTGAGAGGAGTGGGCAGCTGGAGCAGTTCTGAATATGCCATAATCTGTCTTAACATTGGTCACTGTAGTCAAGGAATGAGTTTGGAGTTGGCTTTTTGGGGTTTGGAAGGGCTTTTTTTGGTGCTTCTGGGGTTGGTTGGTTGGTTTTTGGAGATGGCTTTGTTTGATGTTCTGTTGGTTGTTGGTTTTTTGTGAGCCTGGGATGTGCATACCAATCCCAAGATTCAAAGGCCAGCATGGCTTCTGTCGTAGCTGTTACTGGATTTCTTATCCTTAAGATTGATTCTTGGATTATGGTTTTAAAAATTGTCTATCTAAAGTGATCTAAGTCCCCCAAACTTTGAAATCTGTCTGTATCTTACTCACTGGAAAATTTTAGGAAACAAACTTGTGCAGAGAGTCTGTACTAACTAGTCTGTTCTCTTAGTTGTCTTGATTTTTTCCAAGTGATTGACCAAAAGAAAGAGAATTAAAAAATGAGAGAGCAGTGGTAGAACACTTAAGCTGTTTTAATCTTTAGTCCTTAGCTTCATTGCCAGGACAGGTTTTTGAAAAGCAAAAATGGAAACTTGATATTTTTAGAGGGTTTTTTCTCTTTTTTGATTTTGGTTTTCCTTCCTATGTCTAGCATGGAGTTTCACAAGAGGATTTCATAAGAGGCAAGCAAGAGAAAAATGTGAGAGATGTAATCTATGACATCGCCAGCCAGGCCCATATTCACCTAGAACATGTGAGATTCCTTTCCTTTTATTTATTTAAATAAACGTAACTGATGCTAAAAGCATCAGTTCACAAAGCATTTGTTGTTAGAAGACTTAAAGCTGCATACTCAATTTCAGATATTTTGCCCTTTTTTTATTTTGAGAGTTTACATTAAAAAAATTCCACCACATTAAAGATTCAAATGTATTATAACTGCTTCTGTATGAATATTATTTTCCTTTTATTTATTTAAATAAATGTAACTGATGCTAGTCTTCACAAAGCATTTGTTGTTAGAAGACTTAAAGCTGCATACTTAATTTCAAATATTTTGCCCTTTTTAATTTGAGAGTTTACATTAAAAAAATTCCACCACATTAAAGATTCAAATGTATTATAACTGCTTCTGTATGAATATTATCTTTATGTGCAGGAGACAGTTTACTCACAGCCAAGTCCAATTTCATATATATAAATGCTGCCTAAAAGAATTAGTACTGGAAGAGAAACTTTAAGTAGAGTTTTATAAATGTGCCAGCATGGGATGAGCACCATAGTAAGAACATCTGCATATGGTATTTCCCAGTGGAATGGCTGCCAGGAAAACAGAGCATGTTGCCTTTAGCTGCAGGTTGGTGTGTGTGGGAGGGGGATTCGTTCCCTGACATGACCAGCCATGCCCAAAGCTATGTTGAGAAAGGTGCTTTCTGCTTATTTCTTTTCTGGCATGCAGCCAAGTCAATTAGGAAAGTCTGTTTGGTTGGAGCAGTGGATGATGGGCCCTGAAGAACTGCAGAGTCCTACTCTTTTTTCTTTCATGCTTTTATTCTAGCTGCATTATGAGATGCTTGCCTAGTGCACAGGACAAAAGCAGAAGAATGTTTTATTGGCAATGCTTTGTCTTCCTCTGGCTGGAAAACAAAGAGCTACAAAGAGTTTCTTAGGTCTACAAGTACATGTACTCTTTCAATATTGTCCCCAGTGGTTCCAGTTGAGGTAGTCTGGAAAGATACCACTTCAGAGTCAAGAAATGCCAGATTTATCTCTGCATTTGCACCATTAATATAATCCTCAATGACAGTTTTACCTGTGATCACAGTATCTTATGCAATCGAAATAGGAAAGCCCTTCATCTTTTTTTCTGAAAGTCAAATGTGGCATCCCTGGTTTGTTCAGTCAGTGCCTACTGAGCTGATTGATGTTTTTGTTTTTTGTTAATAATGTGAATATGTTATAACAGCCCTCCAGTACCTAAAGGGAGCCTACAAGAAAGCCAGAGGGACTTTTTACAAGGACATTAACAAGGGGAGATTGCTTTAAACTGAATGACAGCAGGTTTAGATTAGATGTTAGGAAGAAATTCTTCCCTGTGAGTGTGGTGGGATACTGGCACAGATTGCCCAGAGAAGCTGTAGATGCCCTATCCCTGGAAGTGTCCAAGGGCAGGTTGGATGGGGATTTGAGCAGCCTGGTCTAGTGGGAAGTGTCCCTGTCCATAGCAGGAGGGTTGGAACCAGATGATCCCTTCCAGCCCAAACCATTCTATGATTCTTTGTACCCTTTGGTTTTATTTTCCATACACTAATTATAATTAATATTTAAAGTATTCCTGTTCATGTTGTTTAACCTGATGTCTCAGTTTTTGTGGTCACATGCCCAAGAAAACTGTTTACTTCATTTAGAAGCAGGGAAAAGTACAACATCAAAACTGTCAATTATCTTTGTTCAAGCTGAAATGTTTTGATTTTTTTTTTTTATTCTGCACCCTTCAACCCATAATGTACAGTGTATAAAACCCATTGCCTTTTGGCTAAGAAAAATGTCAAGTGCGTGGCCCGAGATGCCTCATATCAGGGATGGGAGGCATGGAAAATGAATAATGTGTATTTATGGTCCACATACTCAAATTTGGTTGCTGGTATTGTATTAAAACTTTAGGATAGAAGCAGGAAGAGAATTTGGTTCTTCAGAACCTTTCAGGTAATTGATAATTCATAGTGCATTGGTCCCTTTGTTCCCAACATGAGCCTACCAACTTCTGAAGAGAACAGGTCTCCTTTCTTCCCACTCCATTCCTAGAGCCCTGCCCATGTTATGCACTGGGAGGGTCCTGTGGAAAGTATGCAGTGTGCTCATGTAATTGGAGACTAAAGAGAAAAGTATAAATACAAGGAAACCAGATTAGGGCAGCATTAGCATTTTATTCAACTGACTGTTGATCCTGGCACTCCTCCCATTTTCTTCCCCCTTTGTGTGTTTTTTAATGGGTGAGTTGTATCACCTTAATTAAAATTTTAAAACAGTTCCTCTCTGAATACTTGCTTCTAGTCTCCCATCGTCAGTGAATTGTTGACAGTGCAGGAACTGTAGAGTGTTCAAACCACTTGACCTGGCCATAGCTGGCAGCAGTAACAGAATATTGGCCTCCTCCATAATCAGATGGTCTCTGTTAATGCAAGGACAAGGATACTTTCTGCCTAATGGATAAAATGGGCTTTTGCTGGCACAATTTGCTGGGTATTTCAGGACCTTAGGTGAATCTAATGGGCTGGTGCCTTTACATGCCTCTGTTCTGCAGTATAAAATCACCATTTTGTTTTGCCTGAGGGTCTTCACAGCCACTTATCCTTTGTTTTAGCTGGGATTACAGGGCAGGGTAAAGTTCAAACCTGCAGTGAGGTTTCAGCTATCTCAGCATTTGTTACACAAACCATGTATTTTAGAGGATGAGGGTAACAATTACCACCCCCATTTCACAGCCAGAAGACACCTAAATCTGAAATGCTGATGGAGTCTCAGCCATGTTACATGAAGCATATTGTAGTAGTGTGGCCCTTGATCTTGAGAAAAAAATTTCTGGAGTATTGGTCAGGTCTTCCTGACACTGCAACTGCTGACCAGCAGGTGGCAAAATAGGATAACGAAGATTGCAGTTTTCCTTAGGAATTGTGTGTTTTATCAGCATAAAAGCATGTAAAAAATGCTCTGTCAGTCCCCCAAAGTGTTCCCTTTGAAAGCTTACAAATACATTTATAAATTCTCCCTCTTTCTCTTCAGCACCCTTTCTCCAATTCCTGTGGTGAAAAAGGGTCTCCTTTTTGGCTTTTTGCATTTGTCTCTGTTGTCCTACATCATTATGGGACTCAGTTTATCAAGGGAGATAAAATGCTTTCTGAATGACATGTGACCCATTCTGGGTTGAGAAGGTCAAACAAGACTACTTTATTTTTTCATCTTGCAATTAATAATAGAAGGGCAGAGCATTGGATCAGGGCAGAACATTTTTCTATTTTAGAAATAGATATACACAAGTGTTATTATATCTCAAAATTTTAAAATAATATGTCTTCTGAAAAGATTGATCGTTTTTTCCTCCTAAACTTTCAGGCTCATTTTCTCAGTTGTCTGAAAGGTCTGTGAAAAATGAAACTTTACAAACTCACACATTCTTGCCTCTATTTATAGAGAGTTAGTTTGTTTCAGCCTGTAAGAAAAGGCAAAACAAGAAGGATTTTGTTTTTATAGACAGGCATTACAGGAAGACTTGTTCAGCTCTGTTAGATGTACTGACTTGAATATGAGTTTAAACTGTTGATTTAATACAGCCATGCTTTAGATTTTTATATGTAGATACTGAGGAACTGAGATAATTTCAGTGTCTCAGATAAATAACCAAAGGATTTACAACTGGATTCCTGGGACTGATGGCAACATTGAACCAAAAAGATGCACTCAGAAAAATGCATTTCTGGTCTTCCATCATTTCTGTCTATTGGGGAAAACAAAAAAAAAAGAAAAAAAAATTAAACTGTATTTACTAAACGAAATTAAATTTGGGACTTTGTTGGAAGAAGGCATGCTAATTTACCTTGGTTTATAGTACGTAGTCTTGAGGTCTGTCAAATCAGTAAGTATTTTTGCAAGCCTCTGTGCCAGTATTATGTACTTTTGTGTAACTACTTTTGTACACAGCTTTCATGGAATGAAATGTTGCAGTTTTAGGATGTCAAAATAAAAAGGGATAACCCTGGTAATACAGTGTGCTGCCTCTAAACATTATATATAGTACTTGATGTTTAATCAGGAATGTTAAATTCTTCTGATAAGTACTTTTTTTTGTGTTTTGTTTTTCTCTCCCACCTTACCCCATTTACTTTTAGGCTAGATCTTTCAGTAAGAAAGTTCCTGTGAAGGCGTATCCTGCTTTTTTCTGTACGGTGGGTGTGAACTCACTCTTTAAGTGATGGACTTATTGCTGTGCTGATGTATTTGTGAAGAGTATTCAAATTAAGCATGGTCAACTACCACTTCACGTGTCTTATTTTGGGAGGATGTAATACCTAAAACTCATAGAAATCATAATGTGTGCATGACTGTAGAACCTTACAGTTTTGATCAACACTTCTAATCCTTCTCTTTTAACTACGTCATTCCACCCAAGATGTCTTTATTCATAGACTGCTGTTCTAATGCAAGAGCCCCAAATCCTGTCTATTTTCATAATTTGGTGTTTGGTCTACTAAAAGATAATGCTTCTCTTCACAAAACTTGACTTTTTTATATGCTTGGAATGTGACGATTTCACTACCATTTAATAGCACAGGCAAACTATCAAGCCTTTTTTGCAGTTTCTCATTTGGTTTCTTGTATTGCTTTTAAAACTTAATGCCTAATTACTTGTGTGCACCATGTGTATTAAGGTTTTTTCTTCTTTTCTAGGTTGCTTTAGATGATTATTTATATAACATGCGGAAAGTGGACTTCAATATATTTCATCCAAGCTTACAAAAGAAGAGTACATTATTACCATTGTATTTGTATATTAGATCTTGGAAAAAAACATATTAAAATTTGTTTGGTTATTTTACTATGGATTCAGAGTGCTGAGTTTTTTTCTTTAATGTCTTAACTTGCTAGAATTGCGAAGTGTCTGACTTCACACTTCTGCAAAATGCAGTTCCAGGGAAACAGCAGATGCACATGAACTGTAGCTGTCAGCTTGCTGGCAGTAGCTAAGTTTCTTCTTGGAATATTAGGCTGATATCTCTTTTTCACTTGTCTGCCAAGTCATATGTCCTTGTCTGAGATTGCTTTTCTTGTCTTTCCTGTAATAACAGCAGTATGACAGAATTCTTGGACAAATGCTGTGCTAATGGATACTTCTGACAGTTCTGATTCTTTGCCGAGGAAAGGAAATAGAAAAAAGACTGCTTTGTTTGTTCCCAAAAGCAGTTACAGTAAATGCCCTATAAATCAGCTAAGTAGTTCTATTTAGTGCAAGGAGCAGGCTTCCTGCAAGTAGTGATGATGCTTCAGAGTTGGAAGAAAGAGCATGTATATTTGAATGCAAGAAAACTGTCAGGAAAAGCTCTAGCAGAAATTATTTAACTGTGTGTTGAGATTGAGCACTGAAGTGACTATAGGTAGTGGGACAGCTTTGCAACCAAGGAAGAGCCCATACATGAATATGTTTGCATTAGCATGGATAAAACAATATACATGTATCTCTGGTGTTTTCACTCTGCTCTTGCTTTGGTGGTGGGACAGCTTTGCAACCAGGGAAGAGAGCCCATACATGAATATGTATGCATTAGCATGGATAAAACAAAATACATGTATCTCTGGTGTTTTCACTCTGCTCTTGCTTTGGCTGTGTCTTCCTCCTGGCCTCGTCTCTGTTGTTGCCCACAGCTGTCATTGCACCGTGGGCTCGACTGCCCCTTTGTTCAGTATTCAGCACATCTTTCAGGACATACTCCTGTGTGGCTTCCCTGAATTCCTCTTCTTTGGTACTGTGAAAACATTCCTGAATGTTTCAGGTAATTTTAGTCCTCTCTCTCTCTAAAGGTACTGGTCTGAGTTTTTTTGAGGGAAATTACTAGTAGCTTTGTACTCAGCATCTGTTAGGATCAAGGTAAGTATTTCTGTTTGATTTGTTTTATGGTAAAATAATGCTTCCTAACATTCAGCTTGATCAAATTGCACAAATCCGGTAGTTTGTTCTGCCTTCATCCTTGTTCTCGTAAATAGCTGCTTTTCCTAGAGATTTGTTTTTCTTAAATCAGGGTTAATCATCCCAGATGCTTGGCTGTATAACAACATCCTGTATTTTTGTGTAAAATGCTACATAATGAATTTCTGTGAACAAGATTCGTGGGGTTTTTTATCACAAACTGTCAGCATGGTAGAAATCTTAGGAACCTGACATTAAGTTCTTCATTTGGTGATCTTGCTTTACATGTTTGAAGTTGGTTTGTGATACAGATCTTGGTTAATCTGAAGTTTTTTATTCCTGAGTAAGACATTTCTCTTTGAATTTGTTCAGCTCAGGATCCTGCTTTCTGTATTACTAGAGGTGGAATAATCAAGGTGATACAAACCAAGAAGAATCAGTATGTCCTGGATTGGGAGCATACTGGCTGTTTTCTTAATGTAAAATCTTTACAGTTTCTGTCCACTTTTCAGGTCAGCTGCAGTATCATATCACTGGTGTTTCTGAATGTGGCAGAGAGGTCTGGTGAAAAGAAAATGTTTAATTCCTATGCAGGCACTGCAGCTCTTTGTGCCAAATGAAGAGCAAAGGCTTAGACTGTTGCTGCTACCAGGCCAGCTGCACATTCCCTCTGTTTATTTTGTGATCTGGAGCAAGCATTACAAACGCCTCTTTCTGCACTTGGTGATGTTTTGTTCCAAATGTGCTGAGTCAGGACAGTTGAGGCAGACCTGTCTGTCCTCTCAAAAGGAATCACTCTCCTGTAAAGTCTTCTCTCAGGCAACTAGCGACAAGATAAGAGGGCACAGCCTTAAGCTGTGCCAGGGGAGGTTTAGGCTGGACATCGGGAGGAATTTCTTTGTGGAAATAGTTGTTAAACATTGGAACAGGCTGCCCAGGGAAGTGGTGGCATCATCATCCCTGGAAGTGTTCAAGAAACGACTGGATGTGGCACCTAGTGCTATGGTTTACTTTACAAGTTGGAGGTCAGTCAAAGGTTTGACTCAATCTCAGCTTTTTTCCGACCTAAAAGATTCACCTGATTCTGTGGTTCTGTAATATTTCCTTTCTCATCATGGCAGGTAAACAGCAGCCTCCTCTGCCTTGACCATCCTCCAGCTCTTCAACATAGCAATTTCCCAAATTTTCTTCATAGCAATATCCTCTGTAGGCACTTCTCCAATCCATGCAAAGCTGTAGCTAGATGCATTCTTGACCCTTTCCCCAGTGTAGCTTAGGATGGCAGCTTCTTTCCTACAGGAGACTGGGGTAACCCTTGTAACACTGCAATTCTGTGTATGCACAGTTCTAACACTGGATTTGAAAGAATTTGAGAAAAGCAAGTATTAGTATTTCGTCCAGAATGAACTTTTGGTCACTAAACTTCAGGTTTAAAGTCAGCACTGCTGAAATCAGTCCTTTTCTGGTTCCTATACATAAAAACATGCAAACAGCAAAATCCAAAACAACCCCACCCCAATCCATCAAAAAAACTGCTAAGACATTAATAGCTAACATTACTAGGAGGTTATTTTAAAATGTAAAATAGACCTTTTACATTAAAAATTAGGAAGAGAAACCAGTCTCCTAAAATGTAGTTCACTAAAAGCAAGAGGAACAGTCTACACCAGCTGTGGAAACAAGTCATAGTCCACTACAGGCTGAATTCTTTCACAAGCTAAATATCCCTCCCATAATTGTTTGAATTGGCATTAACAACCAAGTGAATTTGCAACTGTACAAGTATCAAGAAAATGTCCCACTTTAGTATTACCAAAATTGAAATCAGACTTACTCTGAGCTCAGGGTAATCCAAAAATGCTCCCCATGTGTAAATTTTCTTTGTTTTCCCATCACATACTCATGATTCTCCATCCACCTGAGAATATCTTGCACGAGCCATTTGTACCCACAAATCTGCAGTGACACAAATGTCTTAAGTCAGGATTTCTCTTTATTTGGAATACAGTATTAGTGAAGTATTCCATACCTGGAATAGGTATGTCTGCAAAAACAGAGAGAACTGTCACCATTTTTTCACTAGGAAATGTTTGACTTTTACTTTCTGGCAAAAGTCACAGCTCCATAAAAATAAGAAACTTATATATATATAAAAATAATGCACTAGGGAAAAATGTCATGTTGCCATTACAGCACTGTACAGTAGAACTCCAAGTAATTTAGGTTAGGAAAAACATCTTGCATTGCAAACTTTAGGACATAATTATTCTATTTCACATGTGACTCTGGGTCCACATTGCTTGAAGTACAGCTTTTTTACCTTACAATCTTTATTACTGGGAAGCTACTCTGAAAAAATGAAAGCCAAGAGATTATTTTTCAATTAGGTACTGTTTGAAAACCAAACTATAGAATCAAAAAAATAGCAGCTGCTGAAAAACATAAGTTTGGCCAGCATAACTAGAGGGGCAGCAGCATTATGCAAGAAACTGCTGATGTGGGAGAGTAACAATGGATTCAAGAAAGCTAAAACCTAATAAATACTGTAACCATCCTTGGGGAGAAAAAAGGAGCTGAAAGTCCAGTTTGACTTTCACTTGCTGTTTGAACCTGCATCTTCAGAAGTTTGAGCTCTTTGGCAATCTGACATTTCCCTCTCCTTGCTTAGGTGTGACTGTTTAGGAGATGTGATACTCTTATTTCCGGAAGGAGGCTTAGCCACAAGGATTACACTCTTTCATTTTTTGACCCATTTTTCAGTTGTCTTTTTGACATTTTAATGTTCTTTCACATGAATATACTGGGAGGATGCAAACTAAACTTTCCTGGGAAAAGAAGGAAGAACACATTTATCTGTACTACTTATATTGAGCTAAAAAGGAAATTCTGACTCATTGAGGCAAGTTTACTCTGTAATTCTCCTGTCTCAGCTAACAGCAGGTAACGAACCACTTCTACACCAAGAAGTAGCTCTCAGGAAAAAAAAACAAAACCAACAAATCAAACCAGCTTTTACAGCTAAAGCTCCCTTCCCACACTCTTTCCTTGTGCACACTTTGAGCTCAATAGCCATTGAAAATTATTGTGGCAAAGCCTTTCATAAAAACTTAGTGTTTCATTAAAAAAAACCAAAAAACCCCTTAATTTCAAAATTAATTCAGTGACCAGCCTCCAAAAGCCCATCTATAACATGATGAGGAAAAAGCAGAGGTACTTAATGCCACAGTCTTTAACAGTAAGACCAGCAGCCCTCAGGGTACCCAGCCTACTGAGTTGGAAGAAGGGAACTGTGTTCTTCCTTTTTTTCCAAGGAATTTTCTCCCTGGCAACATACAACGTTTCACTGGATGCTGTCTAAGATTGATGAGAAAAAAGATTGAGCATTAATTACAAGTACAGTAAAATAGTTTAATATATCCTGATAGTGCTGATACCTCACAGAGGTGTTTTAGGAATCTGTTGAGCATCATCCCTCTCTGTCACCTCCCTACGTGCCTGAGGGCCCCAGGTTGGATTTGACACCTGAGGTGCAGAGAAACTGCAATGGGGTGTGCAGGAAGTGGAGGGGTTGGTGATGAGATTGTTTTTACATGCATTTGAGCATGTACTGCAGTCAGTTTTTATTTCTCACAGGTAGTTGCCATCCATTTGCATTCATGATGCGCTACAGTACTGCCTGGTGCTGCAGAAAATAGTCTTCTAGAATTTCTTCCATGGATGATTCCACCATAGGAGTGGGTACCTAACTTTGGTATAGGCAAGGTAAGGTATATCTAAGGGAAAAGAGGGGAAAAATTTAATAATATCATTAAATTGTGAATGTGACTGTTATCTGGGCTTTGAGATGAGAAGTACACTTGGTCATATTTGCACAAGAATTTGCTGGAGTCATGCCCTTCTGATTTTCCTGGGATAGAAACCTCATTAAACTGTATGAAATAATTAGAAAATCTTTGAAAGCAATTCTGTTCCTTCTCATGCCACCCATATCAAAGCACAGATATCTCTTCTGCCTTTTTTCCTCCCTCATTTATTTACTTTCTTTTCCAGCCTCTGATTGGCATCTCTCCTTTGTCCTCTGAAGACTCATTCAGGGCCAGTGTTAACCTGCAGTCTTTCAGTTTAAATTTGCATTTCTAGCAGAAACAGTAACATAAAATATTTGTACTGGTTCACTCTAAGAAAAAAAAAGCATGTCCATCCTCTATCTTCTTTTTTGCCCCATGGTGATTTTGCTCCTGTTTTCCAGGTGCTTCTTTTCAACGAACTCACCAACTGCCCCATGTCAGGCACTCATCTCCTGCTATACCATAATGATGTTCTTCTTACTAAGTCCTAAATGCCTTTCAGGAAATTTGGCTCCCCAACAGAAATGGTGTTGATGTCTGACAAGATCTGACAGTTGAGTCAGGGTCTTGGCACACGTCTGGCTCTCTGCTATCAGCAGACTATGTAAAATCATGGTGAAGGATGGGACAAAGTAATAATGAAAAAATCCACATTGTTTGATTACACATAATACTCTGATGGATTATTTTTCTGCTCTTGGCTACGGCATAGTGGAAACACAGTGACAGTTCTGTTCAATTGAAGTTCAGAATCTCACCCCTAGACATTCATCCTAGAGATAATTGGAAACAATTTGCCTCAGACCTGCAGAACAGTGTATCTTTTTGGACTTATTAAACAGGAATTTTAGGAGTTTTTTGGTGGTTTGCCTTTGCAGACAGACTACCTTGACTTGTTCCTGAAAGCAGTTTTGGACTCTGATCATAAACTGAATTGATACAATTTCTTGCATTAATAGCAAACAAATCAAACCCTCCTATTAGAAAGCCAATGCAATTCAGGGAAAAACAAAACGAAAAACCAAAACAAATGCACCTTCAAGTCACAAGTGCTTGCTTTTGGCATGCTGTGGTCTTTTCAAAGTTTTCAAATAGCTGCATGCAAAGAAAAGTTTGAGTTATTTATGCTTTCTTTACTCACCTGAACTGCTAACTTTGTCCTTTCTTTCACAGTATCTGCTTTTTGATTACTTAGACACACAGAAGCTTGTCTGTTTGGTTTTTGTGTTTAATTTTATCTAATTCTGCATGATTTGTATTGTTTTACCTTGTAGGGTCTACCTACTAGGCAAAAATCACAAGAGTAGCAAAAATTCCATGTTTGTTTCCCAGTATTTCCTTCATGGAAATATTCTTTGGGATGCCCTTTGCTTTTTTATTATTATTATTTTTTACTTAAAGCTAGTTGTTTAATGTCTAATGGTGCCCTTACATGAAACTAGACTGTATAAATGGTGGCACTTAGAGAATAATGCATGTGCTGTGATGTCTTGAGAACCTTACATGCTGCAAGAATTGTGGTGTTCAGCGTGTGTGAGACAGTGCACACATGTGGCCAGAAAATCGGGTCAGTGCTTGTCTCTGGGACACCTTTATACGACTGCAGTTGTCTGGAGGAACTGATAATTAAAACCCATCCCATGTCCATTGAGCTGCATGAAGTATTAAACATCAATTGAAGAGATTTCTTCTCAAAATACATATTTTTCTCACTTTCTCCCAAATCAGGGAAAATGAATTTAGCAGTATTTACTTAGAAGTCACAGATTGGATATATGATAATTAAAACATTATTAATATATTTTATATAACCATAGGACTTACTTGTGTACTCCATTTCATTGGCTGGTAACTGATTAACTGAGAAAAGAAGACTGAATGTTTCTGTTGGCTGAAATAATGTTACTACAGTTCTACCATGAACTTTTTGCTTGGAGTGATGGTCTTTATTTCCAGTCTTTAGCTGTATCAAATATGTTAGCTGAGAAGTTACTTTACATTTTCTGCTTAGGTCAGATCCAGGCCCCTTCAGTTGCTGGTCCACGCTGAGCCTGCTGTGTCAGACTTGTAGTTACCAACAGAGAAAGGACTTTTTATTTTCATGGTTCTGGGTTCTGATGTGTTTTTTCCCCAAAAAAAATATGTAGATGGCTGAATAAATGGTCCTAACATCATTGAGAGAGATGGTGAATTCCTAGAGCCTTTGAGGCATAGGAGCCAGCCCTATCTGTAACCTCTATGACATGACACTTTTCCAGGACTGTAAACTTAATGCAAGTGAAATGAATGATAAATTCATTTTTTTAATTCTTGCAGTTTTAGCAAGTAATAAATACATCCCCTCTCACATTAGTCTCCTCTTGATGAACCATTTTATACCATTTACTGACCTGAATTCTTGACTTCTCTCCTAGCCAGTAATTTCACCCAGAAGTTAGTGGCTGAGGTAGTGTGATAGAAAATATGAACCAATTGGACTGTCACTATTTCTTTAAATAAAGGTGTTCTGAAGACAGGCTGGGGAGGGTTAGAAATACAAAAAGCCTCCAGTTAAGTAGCAGTAAATGAGAAGGTGTTTGAGCTGCAAGGTGAGGCAGAGATGCCACTGTCAGTTGTCTCTGTATGATTTTCCAAGGATCCTCAACCACAAGGTGTTGTGAGCACACAACACTGTCCTGCAATTGAACCTGAAAGTTCAGGCCAACAACAGTAACAGCAAAGAAAATTAATTTCTAGCTGTCAAAATTTATTTTTTCTAGTCTAACCTTTGTTAGTTCATGTAGTGACCATGTGCAGAAGGAAAATTGTTGCCTCCTTCTTCTGGTGATATGGCTACAGAGAGAGATTTGGCCTTCAAAAATGTCAGTGTTTAGTTTAATTTGGAGTGCTTTGAAATGTGGTTTATTCATTAACCTGGAGATTGGTGACTCTTCACTGTTCTATAGAGTGGAAATGAGACTGGTTGAAACATTAGATCCAGCCAGCTCAACATCTTCAAAGGTTACACCAGTGAAATCCCCAAACCAGATAGTATTGCTGGGCACCAGAAACTTCTGGCACCATTGAACTTCATGGTCTCAGTTCCAGATCATATCCACCCATTAATTATAGATGAGAGTTTATAGTGGATTGTAACCCCCCAAACATTCTTACTTTTGAGGGTTAAAAACTAATTCATCAGCACTGTTCTAATTATTGACAGTATTGGAACAGTGTTTCCTCCAATCCAAGGAACATCTCTCTCTGCTGAAAAGACAAAGGGACCTTTTCAGTGAGCAAATCTGCAGATTGGGGATATAAAAGACACACAAATGCCAAAGTCTTTCTCTTGAGCTTCTATAACATTTCTGTTGTCAGTATTCTGATCAGTCAGAGTCATCCTCAGTAACACACAGTGCAGGCAGTGAGCACTCAGATTTGCACAGTAAACATTAAAAATGGGTGTCAGGTACCAGTAGAGGCCAGTATACACCAGTTGGAATCCATCAATAGGTCTGGTAGATCATAGGCTACAAGGGGTGGAAGCAGACTGATCTTTCTGGTGTGTTCTACACTCACAAAGCAGCAGCTGTCCTGCCTTCCAGCAGAACCTTTCACATGTTGTCAGGCGTTATGTCAGCAGCTGAGAGAAGTTTTGGTGTAAACACATGCAGAGGCAAAAAAAGAACCCAGACCAAATTTGGGAAGAAAAATCCCGGTGAAATGGTGACTGTTTGAATTAATGTAATTTATTTTGTGTGTGCAGATAAATGTAGCCTCAGCCTTTGGAAAGTCAAGCTGCAAGGCAGAGCAGCAGTGCCAGCTCTGGAGAGTCAAGGCAGCAAGAAAAAGAGAAAGAAAAAGGAGCAGCAGCAGCACAGGAAGCAACACATTGGAAATGGAAGAGATCTGGAAAAGAGCCAAAATCACAAACACGAGAAAAAACAAAAGAAGCAAAAAAGATGATCAACAGTGAAATATTGTCAGTTTATAGAATGACTACAGGAAGCAACACGTTGGAAATGGAAGAGATCTGGAAAAGGGCCAAAATCACAAAACGAAGCAAAAAAGATGATCAACAGTGAAATATTGTCAGTTTATAGAATGACAGATGATTAAAAAATTACTTAATTTCTCATTCATTTCTTGCATCCCTGAAGATGTGTGCTAGTTTTGGACATGCAGATCCATAGGACACAGAAACCCATCAAGACAGGGGTGTGTTCTGACTGGACTTGACACCAAGGGACACATAGCCCGTGCATGGGGACACCCAGGAAACACACATCCCTCTGGCATCAGTCCAGCATTTACTGATTGAGGCAGGGACACAGTGGTGGAACAGGGCTGGTTGAGTGGGGGGGCAGGTCTCAGGAATGCTGGTTCAGCAGGCACAGGGTGCTGGGATGAGCTTGCCAGGGTATGCTCCCCAAAGGTGTGTGTATATGGGGGGATGGCAGCAGGTTGGGATGTAGCATGGGATTACAGGGTCCCTGGGTTGGAATCAACATCCTTGGAGAAGCTCCTGTGTTACCTTGTGTCTCCCTGTTGCCTTCAGTCTGTCCCAGTCATTCCAGGACCATTCCATAATGGCTTTTTAATGCCATGCACTGTCTCTTCTTGTGGACAGGGAGAACAGGAATTGTCCCTGTCCAGGGACAGCTGGGGCTGGAGCACCTTGATCTAATTTCCAGCTTCTAGTGCTGGTTTTAGTCTTTGCTGTGTCTTCTCCTGTGCTGCCTGAACATGACAGGATGGGACTGGAGCCTCGAGGAGGCTGCAGGGACACCCCCAACTCAGACCACCCTTGTTTCTCCAGGCTTGCCCCTGGAGCAGGCGCCGAGTCCCAAGAGACACAGAGTGCTGGTGTGGCAAAGCTGGGTTGAGTGCACATCTTTATGGAAGATATTGTGGGAATCAGAAATCCAGAAGCTGAAGAAAATTTGCAGGTGAGCTCCTGGAAGACACAAAGATGGGGCTCAGCAGGAAGTCCTGTGTGGCACCACTGCAGGAATAGGGTGTGCCACACAGGAGTGTGACTGCACAGGAGTGTGTGACTACACAGGAGTGTAGTCAGAGGCACTGAGGAGTGTAGGACAATTAAATTGCTTCTGATTTCTGCAAAGAGCTTGAGCATGCAAGCAAAAATGGACCCAAAACCAAGGCACTGCAACCATTGCAATGGTGGTGCTCCTCCATGAGTGTTGTCCTCCATCTTGAAATGGCTCTGCCAGAATGGAATCTTCTTCCACTGAAGAGCTCCATGGCCTGGCAGGAAAAGTGGGCTGTTGAAGGTGGCCTCCAAAACCTGAGCAACACTTGTTTCATCAATTATGCCCTGCAGTGCTTGATGTATAGCATATTCCTGGCCAACTACCTGCTGTCATACAAGCACAGACAGTCCTGTGAGTCCTTCCTGCTCCACATTTTACATCTCTTGGGCAGCTTGGAAGGATGGAAAACCAGCAGTGACTTTGGGAACAGCTCCGAATTTCCCCTAGAAAGCTTTCAGAGCAGGCTCAGTGTAGCCTAGCACAAGACAGGTTGGCTTGCTGTCATGTGCCATATTCTGACTCCCAGGGAAGATAATTTCTTGCTTCCTGTGGCTCCTGAAGTGCATCTGAAAGCTCTGTCTGGAGATTAATGCACCTGGCATTTAAACGTGGGATCGTTTGATGTTTGGCTTTTTTCCTTCCTTGAAAATTTTTGTTAACTACACATATTTCACCAACACAGTTCTTTATAGCACAGCCAGCTCTTCAAGAAAGTTTTCCAAAGTCTTCAGGGTCGAGTCTCATGTGTGACTTATGAAAATCCCTTTTCTTGCCTGAAAACAAAAGAGTTGCACTTTAGTTTGCTGTAAGTTTTCTCTTCAAAAAACCCACAATCCCCCCTCGCCCCAAGCCCTTACCCCAACACAAATACTTTTCTTATCTGCTAAGCATTTTAAAGGTCAGTTATTAATACAATCTTTGCATCTTCAAGTGGGGAAAGTTAATAATTCTCAACTTGTTACATTAAACACTTGCTATGGGTTGCAGTGAAATAAAAGGCATGTACACTTTCCATCAAAAGTGAGTTTTCGTAAGTGTGAGATCTAATGATCATAAGGAAAAATTTGTACTAAAAACCTTATCTGAAAACTTAGATTTTTCATCAAATTGTCACCATGAAATTTTGCTAAATTGTAGAGAGTCTCAGTTTATTAAATTAGCTTTTCTGCCATTTCATTAACTGAAAACAGTCCTAGCACTCCATTCCAAGTTGCTACAGGTACTACCAAAACCAGGTCTGGCCACCCCAGTAAAAGCAGTCTCCAGACAGCTCTCTGGTGTCCAAGCTGGACACTGCTGATGGAAACTTGCCCTGCTCTGGGATGCTGCCTTGTAACAGGGGTTTGTTATAAAGATGGACTTTGCCTCCTAAGCACTAAGGCTGAGTTGAAGTTCTGACCTCTTTGTTTGGCAAGTTGAAGTGGAATTCTCACACAAAGTGTCCAGGTCTTTGTAAAGCAGGATCCACAGATTCCAGTCTGCTGATGGCTCTGATTACTGCATTGCTACTTTTCAGGTTAAATGAAGGTGTCACAGTGACACCACGTTAAATAGGATGCAGTCTTCTTTTCACAAAGATCAAGCACCTTCTATACAGATACAAGACATGTCCCACCTATGGACCTGGTCTTGTTTGCTGGACCATACAGGAGCAAGAGCATTGATCTCATCCAGGAAAACAACTGAAGGTCCCATCTGGTAGACCTACAAAGAAAGCACAGGAACACTGACATCAGGAAAACAGCACTGTTTGAAAGGAAAAAGACATGAAAAACATTGTGGTTACAAGAACACTGGAACTGGTTAGTTTGGGGTTTTTTTGAGGGGGATGGTGGTGCTTTGCAAACCTTTCTTGTTTGCATTATTAATATTTCCCAATACATCCCAAGATTTCCAGTCTCCCAAAACCCCACTGGAAAAGGAAACCCTGACAGTCCCATTTCTGTGGAAGGGGAAGGAGCTGACAAAACATGATAAAATTTCTTCTTGACCGCAGAGAATTAGTTACAACTCAGACAGAACATGTGGCACATTTCAGTCATACCTGCTCAAATAATAAACAAAACTGTCATTCATATTCTCCTACCCATTCACTCAGGCAGATGACACCATTTCTCATAAAAAGATTACTCCCCCATTACCCTGGCTACATTCATTAGCACTGCACAAGCTACCAGTGTCTTTCCAGTCCCTGGTGTACCATAGAATAGGAAATCTCTGCAATTAAAAAAAAAAAAATCACGTAAGAAAAAATCATAATGGAAAAGTGCCTATTATAACCCCCATCCCTAAACCACACAGCTCAGCTCTCCTCAGCAAAACACTTCATGGATAACACAGTGGTAACAGCTGAAGTGTGAGAAAAGACAAAAAGGGTTCCTACACAATACAATGAGGCAGCAAATGAAATTCATAAAGAGGATAATGTGTATGTACAAAACATTGAGAAAAGATAGTAACATCCCAGGAGGACACATCCAAAAGCTCTGACATACCAGCAGGGGTGGTTACAACACAGTGGAGCCAAACAAACTTCCAGTGCAGAAACTGAGTCCAGGATAACTTACAAATCACCAGTTCTGCATGTTCATTCTTGTTTTCACAAAAGGCAAGATTTGAGAGTAAAGCATTTAATTACCCCTTAAATAGCCTTAAATTTCTGGGTTTGGTCTCCCTTTGTGGGTGATAAAAAAGAAGTAATCTAAAGCTGGGAAGGTATTCTGCATTTCTGCATTTCCATCAGCTAGAAAAGCCAAGATGTTGCTCTTTCAAAATGAATTTCATTTAATAAAGAAGCAAAAGACAAAGATTTTCTTTTCATTGTTTGTAATACTTTTAAAAGTTCCTGAAAGCAAAGCATTTAAAATCCCATTTCAATATACCATAACTGAATTTTGCTGACCAAGAATATATGTTAATAATTAAATCTCCAATAATTTCATTTTGTAACACAGAACTCAGCTGTTACTCATCTGTAAAAAGTGGACAAATTCTTATTCTAGCCCAGGCACAACAAGCACTGCAAGCTTCTAGTTACAAGTTTTATCATTTGTAAAAGTGATGCTTGAGTGTTTGAAAAAAACCAGAGTTTGTGGGAGAGAAGTAGACTTTCATGAAGAAAACTACAGTTGACTATCAGTAGGCAATTCACTGTACATGAAACTCTAAAGGAAAAAGTCTCCAACTCCAGTTTTTAAAGGCAAGACACCTTTAAAGGTGTCTAATCTTGCCTCACAGGAAATCTCCAAACCTACATATATGCTTGTTTCTATCAATTTTTTCTAATATTACTTTTTAATTTTCTTAAAACTTTTTACTACTGCTAAAAAAACCTCATTCAACAGTTCTGAAAATTTTGGAGCATTTTTATATGTTAAAGAAAGCTACAACCTCAATAAGGTTCCATCAGAATTTCGATATCAGCACAAAGGAAACGTTCACAGCAATTTTCAAACTGCTGGAGAAAAACCTGTAAGCCAAGGGAGTTGTAGACAACCCATTATTGGAAGCTTTCATAAATAGTGTAAATGTCTCACTGACATGATGAAGTAAAAATCCTTACTGAAACAACTATTTGCCTTGCCTCAACATCAGACAGATTTGCTACAGTTTTCTCAGTTTTCATGTGAATATTTGAAGTGAAAATGCAAACCCTGGTACAGCTGTGTGCAAACAGTGTCCATTCAAAAATCATAAAGCAGCTCAGGAAGCCCAGTATGAGACATGAGTTGCAGTATATCACTGCTATTTCATATTTTCTGAAGATATTTCCTCCACCCTTAAAGCACAGCTCTGGCATAACTGACAGTAAGATTATAATTAGAGAGCAAACATAAATGTCACTTTGACTACACTATGCTTTGGAAGAAGTTTTTTTCAGCTAAATTAAAATTACAAATAAATAATCACTCTATGTGAAATAGTAAAATAAATTAGTGTCTACTTCTTCCAGTAGAACACCCGATGATTTTCCATCCTTTGCCTTCTATGCATCTTCTCTGTACAGCCAGCTTTTTGCAAGATTGTTTCTACACTACTAAGATAAAAAATTGAAATGTAAGAGCAAGGATAGATGAACACAAAAAACCCCATTGAAACTGGCACACATGATCAGTATGACATTTTGATGTAGTGAACACAAAGCAAGAATCACAGGCATTCAGCCAAATTTTTGAAAACTACTTAAAAATTAGGTCAAATGTTTACTTTTTTTATAGATACTTAGGAATAAGTGTTTGAGGATTTGCAAACTGACTATTTTCAGGTTTATTTTCCCCTCTTGCTAAACAGATTAAAAAAAATCCCATTCAGTAGGAAAAAAAGAGTTCTGAAGATATAGGAAGATAACAGAAAACAATTATGGCAGGCTTTCACAGCATGATAACATTAAGTCACTTTTAGATCCTAGCCTTCCTCAGACAACTTGTTACTTATTACTTAGATTACTTATTCTGCTCTTAACCCGAGTTAAGGTCTTGTGCTGATTTTCCGTGACTACATATGGTAGAAAAAGCATCTCACTGCTCTTAGTTACACTTCACAAACCTTTCAGAAAACAATGTCAGTTTGCACTTCATGGTGAGACTTAAAACACAGACACACAAGCAAAAACACTAGGACTGCTTCTCTTTGCCTGTATCCAGCTTTCTGCTGCATCTTAACTCGATTGGGTGTTACAAAATTATTTGTAAGCATGAAAGAAAATTTAATTAACCATGAAGCTGCTTCTGATGCCAAGAAAATTGATTTAGACGACAAGTTAAATCTACAGAAATTTACAACACAAAGAGATCTTTTTGGTTCACAAGAACCATCCCATCCAAAAAGATCCTCTGGTATGATCTCTCTGCAACTGGCAGTAGCAAAATGAAGACACTTGTGGCCAATTTAAATATTGGCTGTGCCAGAATTCCTTACACATGAAGCACCTGCCAAATACACCCTGCTGCACACACTCTGAGATTTGTGGCTTAAGCCACAAGAACCTGTTTCCAAAAACTCATGCTAAACAGTTTGGCCCACGCCTTATATAAATCAGTGCATTAAGAGTAATTACATGACAGCTCAGGCTGACACACTGGATGGATTTCAGGGAGAAGTGATCACATTGTCATGCTTTAGGATGCTCAGAGCTCCATGTCCTGCTCCCTTTCCTGTGTGCCTCCTCCACAGCAGGAGAAACCCAGCTCAGTGATGTGACTCTTGCCTATCAGTGCCCCTGTCTGAGCTGGGACAGAAAATTCAGCCAAAAGTCAGAAAGTTCAGCAGTTTCATGATTACTACTGGGAAGCCCCACTACCTATTTTTAATCCCCAGAAAAGCCAACCACATTATTGCTCAATAATGTGAAATTTGAAAAACGAAACTGCCATATTACATATAAGTGAAATTTTCTTGGGGAAAAAAAAAAAAGAAAAAAAAAAGAAAAAAGAAGAAGCCCATTGGGCCATTTTCCAGCGCAGACTTTGGCATCAGAGCGACACCATCGAAGTTGATGGTGCTGTACCCTCTTACCTCTCCTTGCTCCACAGCCCTTCAGAACCTTCCCAGCCACCCTTTCCCCCTGACAGCATCCATCAACAGGTTGAAATCCTAGGGGATCAGGTGAGCTGCCGAGCAGCCGGCTAGATTTGGAAAATCCTGCTCTGGGTGCCTCGATGTGTACACACAAACAATCCTGACACAGAAGGTGGAAGGGGCTCCTGGTGTTGACAGTGTTTCTGGGGGGAGCCCTTCTGCCATAGCTTCTCCAGGCTGACCAGCACCTCTTCAGACTGAGACATGTCACTAATTCCCTTCCGTGTGCTGCGTAGAGAGAGGTGCTTAAAAACGTGCCCATCCTGAATTACCTCTGGGCGAGCATACTTAGAGCCACGGGCGCGGGCACAAACCCGCGACTATCCACAAAGAACGGCTCTTAAAAAATAAATTAAAAAACAAACAAACAAACAAACAAAAAAACCCCAGGAGTCCACAAAGAACGGCTCTTAAAAAAATAAATTAAAAAAAAAACAAACAACCCCCAGGAGGCAGCCGTCCGTGCCGGGAGTATCCCTCTTCCGCGAGGTGCCACTCCCGGGTCGGGATAAGCCGGGCCGAGCCGCTCCCGCCCGCCCAGGGCGGCTCTGAGGGCAGCCCGGGGCTCGGGCGCTATCCCTTCCCGCCCAAGATGGCGGCGGCCCCGCCCCGCCGGGCGGTGTCCCGGAGCCCGTCCCCCGGCGCGGGGTGTATGACCGCGGCCGTGCGGCGGATAGGGCAGGCGGCGGCCGGAGCGGGGTGTACCGGGTGAGCAGCGCCGTCCGGCCGTGTTACGGGCGGCCAAGGAGCGACTTGGGTCGGGGCCGGCTGGGGAGCGAGAGGAAAACTTTCCTTGCGGAGCCCGGGACTCCGGCTGCTCTCCCGCGGCCATGTTGGGAACCGGGGGCTGCCCGGGGGGGGGAAGGAGCTCCCCGGTGGGAGGCGGCGCTGGGCTCCGCTGACCCGCCGCGGGGCTGGGGCAGCGCCGCGTCCTGCCCGCAGGGAGGGAGGGAGGCGGCGGGGCGGCAGGACCTGGGGAAGGAAGCGGCGGCGGCGGGCGCTGGCTTGTCCCAGGGCACTGAGGGAGTTGGGGGTCTCGGAAACGAGTTCGTCATCGGGAAAGGGGAGAAACAACAACGGCGGCGGCCCCGCGGCGTTACGTAAGTGCCGAAACTCCTGGGCTCGTGACTCCGCCAGGCGCCTTGAGGCGGCGGGACGGGCGGAGGGCGCTTCCTGCCCGGCGGGGCGCGCTCCCCCGGCCCACCCCTGCCCGGTGAAACTCCGTGTCGTTCTCGGAGCGAGTCGCCTGAAAAGTGTTTACACTGCTGTGAAAAAACAGCGGAACCGCGAGTCGTGCGGCTGCGAGCATAAGGTGCCTTTTTTTTTTTTTCTTTATGAAAGTCGCCTGTTTTGAGGGGAATGTAACTGGTGTGCCAGAGATACGTATGGCTCATAAGCTGTTTTCTGAAAGTAGCTCGAGAAAAGGCAGCTGCATGTTTTTCCTCTCGCCTCATTCGAAATACTTATGTTCATAGGCACCGATGTTTATAAATGGCAAAACTGCTCATCACGGCAAGAAAGCGATGGGTGAGTCTGCTGAGCAGCACGTCCTGGCATCGGCTTTGTCCCTGCTGAGGGAAACAGCTGTAACTCGAGTTTTGACGTGAAGCATCAGTACAGTGGCTGTTGATAACCAAAAGGACCTTTTATATTCTTTACCAGAGGTCGAGGATTGTCTTTTGGCTCGGTTGATGCAAATGGTTCCAGAAGCATCATTAAGTTCTAATTCAGGCTGTCCTCAGGCTGTGCTAAGAGTTACTGAAAGGGTTGATGCTTATTTGAGAAACACTATACGTGAAGCTTCAGTGTGCCTAACAGCTTAAGGTCAGATGAGGTTAATACAGCAGGCAAAGTGACTCTAAAACCCGACCCACAACACAGGAATCTGTTTCAGAACTGAGACTGCAAATTCCCCTTTCTCTCCTGAAATAAGGAGAACTTAAATATTCCGATCTTAAGTTCTGATACTTGTATATTGAATTATTTTAGGGATGCCTGTCTGAAAGAAGGGAAGTATTTAAAGACAGTGGTGTAATCGGTGCTGAGATCCTGCCGATTAGTTGCTTTGTGTGCAGTCATCAGCATGCAGAATGGAATCGGTTCTTTAGCTCAGAAGGCAGTGCTCTTGCTTTTAGCCTCTAATCTAAATACTGTTGACTAATCCCAGTGGGTAATAAGAATCCCAGTGTTGTTAAATGTCTTTTATATGAGCTCAGTTTCTTAAATAATACTTTCCCAAGAGTTTCAGTGCCACCAATTTTGTTGAAAACAACAGTGAAAGTGAAGTGTTGTGTGCCTGAGTCCCAAATTCTTCCTTCTGAATGCAAATCAGCTGTGTGCTGTTTGGTGTGTCTGAGTTTTGCTCTACATGGAAGCCCACATAGAGGAAGTCCCTTAAATGCTAAATGAAGGCTGGTGTGTAGAATTTTTTAGCTGGAGGAGCTGGTTCAGTTTCCTCTGTTGTATTCTGTAGAAAGAGAGTAGCATCTTTTTACCCAAAAAGCAAGTTTTCATTAGATGCAGTGATGAAATAATTTTTCAGCTAGAGCTTTGTCCTGTCTCCCTTATATCAAGGGCTGAGCTTTAGCTGTAGTAATTAGACATGTCCCCAGAGTGACAGAAGGATCTATCCTTAGTATCCTAAAGCCCTTTAGTTTACAACAATTATCATTGGAAAAATGTTTGCTATGTTCAAAAGGTATGGTGAGTTTTAAGTTTCACTGCTGTGGTTAGTGGATGCAGCATGGTTTCAGAGCAGTAAAGAAATGGAACTGCAGTTTCAGGTGAGGCACAATGTGACAGAGCATTGCCAAAAGCCCCATGAGAGCAATTATGGCAGAGTACAAACACTGGTTTCATACACTTACAGCATTTTTAGTGGCTTGTCTTCATCAAGGAGGGCTAGAAGTGTTTAAGTGAAAGCTGAGGGTCAAGGCATGGCACATAGATAAGGCAGAGTTGAATTTTTAAGTACTTGCAGACCTGATTTTATGAAAATGGATGTGAAAAAATGTTGGGAGCGGTGTCCTGGCAAACAAAATGGCATGCTAGTTTTTTGTTCTTAAAGTACACCTACTAATGGGTGATGTCAAATAAGGAAATCCCAGTATTAACAACTAATATGATTCTTAGATGATGATAGGTAAGAAGTACAAATTCTTGATTTTGTACTAGGAAATGAAACCTTATTCTGTACAGCTTCAAAATGTAAAGGTACATTTGTGACTTATTTTGAGCTGTGTTAATATTGAAGCTTACTTTTTCCATTTAATTTTTGGGTTTTCTTAAAAGTCATAAATCATGCTTATATATGTATATTTTACTGCTTTCATGAAGTAATTCAGTATTTGGATGCAAGTATGATATTCCAAAAGAGAATACATACAGGCAAATATGGATTTCTGAAATAGAAGGACATATTTAAAACTTCCTCCTTAATGCTGCAAGTGCCAAGTTTGCTGTTGTAGGATAACTTTTGTCTTCATGATTCATTGGAGGACTTGTTTTTATAGTTGAGGAGGGTGAAAAACTACTCTATAGATAGGTGTGGTAGAATATGTTTGCTAAAGATTATTTTATTGTTATTGTGAACAGCAAGATATGAATATGTTAGCAAGTAGAGTCCTGCAAATTCAGGGCTACAAGAGTAGTCTGGTTGAAATAAGTGAGTCTTTACACGAGAAGTGGCTTGATTGAGACTTGTAGGACAAAGATTCTCCTTTTATGAAAATAAATATTATTGTGCAGAAGTGTTATTGAAGAGAAGAGTATTGCATATTTTTCACCCTGCCACTTTAATGCTACACAGTCAAAAATGCACAGATGTTGACTTTAGTTGCATACATAGGTAAGAGTACTGCTTCTCTGGACAAAATCACTTTTTGTTTTTTGTTCATTTGGTTGGGTTTTTTTTTTTTTAGCTTATTAGTGATTGTAAATAATGCTACACAGTCAAAAATGCACAGATGTTGACTTTAGTTGCATACATAGGTAAGAGTACTGCTTCTCTGGACAAAATCACTTTTTTTTTTGTTCATTTGGTTGGGGTTTTTTTTTAGCTTATTAGTGATTGTAAATAATTTAAGGATTTTAAAAGTGAAATGGAAGGGAGTGACTTTCTATTTTTTTCTCTTTGCATCATTTTATTTTACGGTAAAACAGTGTTAAGTGTATTGTGTATGTAATGTAGTGGGATTTTGGCATTTGTCAGGCATTTGTCATGTGCCAAAAGAAGAAAAAAAAACAGCTGAAAGTTAAGGATTTCAAATACAGGAATGTTGTTGCTGCATCAGTCTGCCCTCCCAATCCCCAATGTAATGGGGGTTGTAAGAATGTGGGTGAATGCAATAAGATGACATGCAAGCAGTTATTTACTGTGTTGAGAGGCAACCTCTGATTAGGTTTTACTGATTCAAATAGAGAAGTTAGTTCTTGTGGATTTTTTTAAGGGGGCTGTTAAATAGGATCCTTATATCAGCAGCTTTAGCTTTAAGTGTTTCTTGTGCCTCCAGCATATCATCTAGAGGTAGATTAGGTTTTACTGATTCAAATAGAGAAGTTTTACTGATTCAAATAGACACAGGGGGCTGTTAAATAGGATCCTTATATCAGCAGCTTTAGCTTTTTTTAAGTGCTTCTTGTGCCTCCAGCATATCATCTAGAGGTAACTGTTTTGCTTTTAAGTGCTTAGTATGCCTTCTGAAAAAGGAAAAGTTACAGCATGTTCTTTAACATCTGCATTTCTAAAGTGTACACATAATTTGCTAACCAAATTAACAGTGTACCATACACGCAGCCATGCAGGTTGCCAGCATCTTCCCTGTGCAGGTTAACTTCAGTGCAAACCTTTGTGCAGTTTTCCAATTGTCCTCTGTGTAGTCTGTACTCCAGTTGCTTTCTGTATAACTAAAATAAATCAAACACATCTGACAGTCAGTGAAAGGGAAAAGGGCCAGTGAATGCATTTCCCAGGAAGGCCATCAGCTACAGTAAGCTGCTGTGATTAAGGGGTTCTTTCAGGAAATAATTCCTTGGTTTTACCCTTCTTCTGCTTTAAATTTCTCCTGCCTTAGCTGTCAATACTTGGTAATGTAAAACTTCTGAGAGTGATTTTCAGTGTAATTCTGTTCTGAAAGCTGTGTGTGGCAGTGATTAGTTCCCCCTCCACCCTTCCCTCTGATCTAGGTTAACAGCATAGAGGCAAGTGAACTGCCCTTGTAACACCCAGGTTATGTTTGAAAAGCTGGTTACATTGAAGGTTGACAAATTTTCTTTATGGTATCATTGTTATAGCTTTCCTTTTGGTTTTTAGTAAT